ATATATATATATATAGTTTGCCCCACCAAGACTTACATGCTAAAATCACCACTGGGGACACCCAAGTGCGAGCACGCATTTTTTTTTTAATACTACTAAAAGTACATGGTAGCCTACTCTGCTGACCCTGACAAACAGATCAATAAAAACGATGTTGTCTGTTCCATAAACTTTAATTGGCCTATGAAAAGGAGAGACACAAATACAATGTGACATCCATCTAACCTGGAGGAGGAAATTATTGTCCAAAAACAAACAAAAGTGTCACTGACTCAATGACAAAGACAGTGAATATGCACACTCACCAGGGATATGGCCTATGTTCACACCTGGTGCCAATAAGATAAGGCTACTGTTCGCACAATTAAGTTAAGAATTTTGATAACTAAAATACAGACTGGAGTCTTTTCATTGTCATTTCTTTACAGCAATAGCCATTTGCTTTCCAAACAGTTTTTCCGCGATTATATTTTTTTATATTGCAATATGGTCTTTGATTTTCACTGACAGTCGCAACTCAACAATCATATATTTGGTATTTGTAGCGGGCACTGCCTAAATTGCAGGCCTTTCAGACTGTAGGCTATGCATTTTAAAACAATCTTATTTATTTTAGAAGCTAATGATTCTCTGTGGCCAAGTCGTGCTTTCTAGTGTAGTAGACTATTTTGAATGATTGTTTTTATTTCTGTATAGACAGGAGTAAGCTAATTAGGCTATATAATTTTGGCAATTTAATTCAATTTACTTTAGGGAAAACTTAGCTTCCCCTAGCCTTATGGATACGCCGCCTATGCCTTTTAATCTGGCATAAACACAACTAGCCACAATGTTTTCATCTGATTGTCAAACAATCACCTCCAAACGAGCTTCAATGCCATACAACACTCCTTCAGTAGCCTCCAACTGCTCTTAAACACTAGTAAAACTAAATGCATGCTCTTCAATCGAACGCTGCTGGCACCCGCCCACCCGACTAGAATCACTACTCTCGACGGGTCTGACCTAGAGTATGTGGACAACTACAAATACCTAGGTATCTGGTTAGACTGTAAACTCTCCTTCCAGACTCACATTAAGAATCTCCAATCCAAAGTTAAATCTAGAATCGGCTTCCTATTTCGCAACAAAGCCTCCTTCACTCATGCTGCCAAACATGCCCTCGTAAAATTGACTATCCTACCGATCCTTGACTTCGGCGATGTCATTTACAAAATAGCCTCCAACACTCTACTCAGCAAATTGGATGTAGTCTATCACAGGGCCATCCGTTTTGTCTCCAAAGCCCCATACACTACCCACCACTGTGACCTGTACGCTCTTGTTGGCTGGTCCTCACTACATGTTCGTCGTCAAACCCACTGGCTCCAGGCCATCTATAAATCACTGCTAGGCAAATCCCCGCCTTATCTTAGCTCATTGGTCACCATAGCAGCACCCACCCGTAGTCTGCGCTCCAGCAGGTATATCTCACTGGTCATCCCCAAAGCCAACACCTCCTTTGGCCGCCATTCCTTCCAGTTCTCTGCTGCCAATGACTGGAACAAATTGCAAAAATCTCTGAAGCTGGAGACTCTTATCTCCCTCACTAACTTTAAGCATCAGTTGTCAGAGCACCTTACCGATCACTGCACCTGTACACAGCCCATCTGAAATTAGCCCACCCAACTACCTCATCCCTATATTGTTATTTATTTTGCTCTTTTGCACCCCAGTATCTCTATTTGCACATAATCTCTTGCACATCTAGCATTCCAGTGTTAATACTAATTGTAATTATTTTGCACTATAGCCTATTTATTGCCTTACCTCCATAACTTGCTACATTTGCACACACTGTATATATATTTTCTGTTGTATTTTTTGACTTTATGTTTTTTTTACCCCATATGTAACTCTGTGTTGTTGTTTTTATCGCACTGCTTTGCTTTATCTGGGCCAGGTCGCAGTTGTAAATGAGAACTTGTTCTCAACTGGCTTACCTTGTTAAATAAAGGTGAAATAAAAAATAAAAAAAGAATTGATGCATCCACTTGTTGTCCACGCCCGCCTCGGTCTCCGCCACTCATCTCAGCCTTCATAAAATGTAAGTATTCTCCTCAAACCACAATACCACCCGGTTCCGAGTCAATTCGCTATGCCTGACATGCAGTAATGTTAAATAAGAGTGTATAGCCTATAATTTTTGGGGGCATGTTGTATGAATTGTGATAGGCTCACGTTTACCGACGGGAACGACATACCCCCACTATTTATTTTGCCGGAACGCCTTACTTTCACCCCTGCTAATATGACCCCTTTGTTGAAAGGTGAGACTCTCATGAACACGTACATGTTTTGCTCTAGGACGCCCACAGACCTCACAAGACTCATCTGAAGGTCCCCGGTACCTGTTGAAAAAAAGTATTGTATATATCGAGACTGTTTAGTGCCAAAAGTAAGGGGTTAAATACATGTAAAAAAAATAATATCCTTATCTTTCTTATGTCTCTCAGATACAGGACAGACACTTCAGAACAAAGTTCCTTTAATTTTTTTTGGGGGGGGACTATCTGTTATTTCATGTAGTGAATATGTTATTCAATGCATTAATAAGGCAGCTTGTGTGTGTGCGAGAGAGAGATTTAGCGCGACAGTACACCTGGCCTATAAAGTGTGTTTGTATGCGTCTCACGTGGTACAGGTTCACCCACTTCTCAAGCTGCCTCAGGGTGTGCATGCATTTGTTGTTGTGATGTAAGCGTTAATGGCTCAGTGACAGACTAAGAATTGAGTTAAGTGGCTGGGCTTTTCATGAGCAGATAGTTGTATCAGACACTTCCGATATTATACCAGATTAGTTAGCTACCTCATTTCATCTCAGTTATATCAGATACCACTGTTAGTTATATCAGATATCAGTTTGATATATGAAATAACTCAGTTCGTTATATCAGATACCAGTTTGATATATCAAATACTTCATTTAGTAATATCAGATGCCAGTTAATTCAAGATACCTCAGTTAGTTACAGTGCTATGAAAAAGTATTTGCCCCCTTTCTAATTTTCTCTACTTTTGCATATTTGTGATACTGAATGTTATCAGATCTTCAACCAAAACCTAATATTAGATAAAGGGAACATAAGTGAACAAATAACACAACAATTACATATTTATTTCATAAACAAAGTTATGCAACACCCAATTCCCCTGTGTGAAAAAGTAATTTACACTCAATAACTGGTTGTGCCACCTTTAGCTGCAATGACTCCAACTAAATGCTTCTTGTAGTTGTTGATCAGTCTCTCACGTCGATGTGGAGGAATTTTGGCCCACTCTTCCATGCAGAACTGCTTTAACTCAGTGACGTGTGGGTTTTCAAGCATGAACTGCTCGTTTCAAGTCCTGCCACAACATCTCAATTGGGATTAGGTCTGGACTTTGACCAGGCCATTCCAAAACTTCCAATTTGTTGCTTTTTAGCAATTTTCATGTAGACTTGATTGTGTGTTTTGGATCATTGTCTTGCTGCGTGACCCAGCTGCGCTTCAGCTTCAGCTCACAGACGGATGGTCTGACATTCTCCTGTAGAATTCTCTGATACAGAGCAGAATTCATGGTTCCTTCTATTAAGGCAAGTCGTCCAGGTCCTGAGGCAGCAAAGCATCCCCAAACCATCCCACCACCACCATGCTTGACGTTTGGTATGATGTTCTTACTGTGGAATGCAGTGTTTGGTTTTCGCCAGGCATTACTGGAACCATGTCGTCCAAAAAGTTATACTTTTGAATCATCTGTCCATAGAACGTTCTTCCAAGAGTCTTGATGATCATCCAGGTGCTTTTTGGCAAACTTGAGTCAACTTTTTGGACGAGATGGGTCCCATTATGCCTGGCGATATAGCATGAACACAGGAACAATACCGACTGAGGAATGAACGTAAGGGAGGGACAGATAAAGGGGAGGTAATGAGGAAGCTAATAGAGTCCAGGTGTGAATCATAATGACCTGCAGGTGCGTGTAATGATGGATGCCAGGTGTGCGTAATGATAAATCCCAGGACCGGTGGCTAGTATTCCGTCGACGTCGCACGCCGGAAGGGAGGAGCAGGAGTAGACGTGACAATGCGTGTACTCTCATAAAGATGAATAAAGCGTGATGGAATACACTTTTACTAGCAAGTTTGGGAATTGAAGAACGATAATCAGATCCATCATATCTTTAGATGGTGCAAGAGTGAGACCCTCCTGCCTTATCGTTTCAAAATACTGTATGCATGGGCAAATTACAATTGTATAATGAGCTGACTATCTCAGTCTTAAATGCATGGATATCTCTCTTTCTCTCTCACCATCTGTCTGTCTGCCTGCCTGCCTGCCTGCCTGCCTGCCTGCCTGCCTGCCTGCCTGCCTGCCTGCCTGCCTGCCTGCCTGCCTGTCTGTCTGTCTGTCTGTCTGTCTGTCTGTCTGTCTGTCTGTTAGTTAGTTATATCAGATACCAGTTTGATATGTCCATCTGTCTGTCTGTCTGTCTGTCTCTCCTCATCCTTTTCATGTGTCCCATTGAGATTTAATTAACTAAAGATGCCATAATTCACAGTGCATACAGTACAAATACGATGATTGTAATTGATGGTAGGCTACAAATAAGATACAATAACCATCAAATCAACAGCTATATACAACAAAGAGTTTCACAGAACACTGCTGTACCTCATTGATCATTGTAAAAGTAAACATGTAAGCATTCAGACTTTGATCTCTCTCTCTCTCCCTTCTATCCCACTTCCCCCCACCTCTCTCTCTCTATCTCTATGCTTCGCTCATCTTCTCTCTCAGCGTGAACAAACAAGCATTGAGCCGCCAATATCTGACACACACACACACTGCGCGCGCATGCACGCACGGGTTTAAAAGTGCTGCCAACACATCGTGCGCATCACATCTCCTCCAGTATATGCACAGAGAAAGAATGTCCCCCTCTCCTCGCGCCGCCACTGATGCGCGCGAGGGAGTCCGATGATTGGACGCCCCGAGCTTATCTTTAAAACCCTCCCGGCAGATATGCGAGGTGCGTGTCTGTGGCTGTCCCTCACCTATTTGGCCACCAGCCTCGACGGGTTGGGGGCACCGGAATACAACAACTCAACCATTTTCGGCGGGGGTCTATTTGTGGATGCAGAAGTGCTGCTGAACCTGTCAGACCCGTACACGCCCAATCGGACAAATGTCTTCTCGCTGGACCTGGACGAGGACACGCTCGCGGACTGGCGTTCCATGGCGGGTAAAAAGCGCTACGGGGGAGAGTCCCATAACGGGACCGTGAAATCCCTACTGGTGGTGGCTTACTCGTTCATCATTGTCATCTCGCTGTTCGGAAACACGCTGGTGTGCCATGTGGTGATCAAGAACAAGCGGATGCACTCCGCCACGAGCCTGTTCATCATCAACCTCGCGGTGGCAGACATTCTCATCACGCTGCTCAACATGCCCTTTACTTTGGTGCGAGACCGACCGGGGACATGACAACCTCGCTACTGTCTATGGGCACAGGCACAACAAACATCACTGTACACAGATGACTACACACACACACACACTCACTCACTCACTCTCACTCACTCACTCACTCACTCACTCACTCACTCACACACTCTCTCTCTCTCTCTCTCTCTCTCTCTCTCTCTGTTGTTTTAAGAGCATCTTTGAGATTCTTACGGTATAATAATTAAATATATTATTTTAACCTTTTTCACAATGGTAGATCAGTGACTATCTCTTGAAGGGGAAGGACGGATAGGTTTCAAATAACTTTTAACCAATTATCCACAGGTGGTTTGGATGATGAGAGTGCTTGCAGTGAGTGTGATATGTCTGTGTGTGCTAAATCGATCTATAACGCGCATATGGATAGGAAAGCTCCAGCTTTTCATCACTCCATCATGCCAGTAACAAACAACCTCGTCAACATGCCTGTGTGGTCTCCGTCAGGTCCGCTTTGTGAACAGCAGCTGGTGGTTCGGGAAGGGTATGTGCCACATCAGCCGGTTCGTCCAGTACTGCTCCCTACACGTATCCACACTCACACTCACGGCAATCGCGCTGGACAGACGCCAGGTAGGTTAACAGTCATGCATAAAATGGGTGAATATCGTGAATGTCGTGTGTGTGCTTCATCTAATTAAAGTGTTGCAATTTTCTTAGTCTAGTAAAATAAAATCTGTAAAGGAAAGCTGTAAGGAAAGTGGGGGCAGCGTCAGCTCTCGAAAGCGCGAGGGGGAGCTGTCCACGCGGCAGTGCTGAAAGTGCCTTAGCTCAAGAGGTTTCTCAAATAGACTCGCTAATTGTCAGCTTGTTACCAGGCTGATAGTTTGATACAGGCAACTATTCTGTTGTTTTGTCCTCTTAGAAATACATTTTTAGGCATAGGTCTATTTCAATGGAGCGTGACAGTAGATGTAACATTAAATTATTTGTTTATTGTCATAGTTTGAGGGACAAGGCAGCTTCCAAGCTATAGAGACAAGTATGTTATTTTCTGGCATCTGCTGTAGTCTATCCTTTCAATAGAATGAATATTTGGTGGCATTCACATTCAGTTGTTTTTCATACAGTTGTCTTGGATATGAGTCTACTATGTATTTATGAGCTACAGAGCTCAAGCGGAGTTTGAGTACGATTTTTATCTCAAACCAAAAGTGTGGTTTGTAAGGGAGGAGTGTGTAACAGATAATAGCAGCAGGTGTGTGTAATGGAGTGTGTGTCATGGCCTGATAAAAACACTGTGTGTGTGTGTGTGTGTGTGCAGGTCATTCTCCACCCTCTGAGGCCCCGCATGTCCCCAGCTCGCGGCGTTGTGTGTGTGATTCTCATCTGGGTCATGGCCAGCTGCTTCTCCTTGCCTCATGCCATCTACCAGAAGCTCCTAACCTTCGTGTACAGGTACACGCACATAAATACACACACACACACACTTCACCTTTGTGTACAGGTACCCATCCACCCACATGCACACGCATGCACACACACAAATCGATAAAACAAATACTTCACGCACAGGTACCCACACACTAAATCGATAGAACAAACACCTCACCTTCGTGCACAGGTACCCACCCACACCCACACACACACAAACACGCACGCACGCACGCACGCACTCACTGCACGCACGCACTCACCACGCACGCACTCACGCACGCACGCACCACGCACGCACGCACGCACGCACGCACGCACGCACTCACGCACTCACTCACGCCGCACTCACGCACTCACTCACGCACTCACTCACCACACCACACACACACACACACACACACACACACACACACACACACACACACACACACACACACACACTATATCGATCAACCAAACACTTCACCTTTGTGTACACAATGCCCACCAGGTATTATTTTCTCACACTTCTCTCTTTCCTCCAGCCTCTCTCACTCTCGCTCTCTTGTTTTGGGGTTTCCAATATTCTTGCTGTTTCTCTTGTTGATTTTTCACGAGTGTATTCTTCCCTGTGTTATACTCATAGCTGGTTATGGGCTCTCGCTCATTCTCCTCTCTCTCCCTCCTTTCAATCTCCTTCTCACACCCTCTCCCCTCCCCCCCCCCCCCCCCCCTCTCAGTAAAGAGAAGGTGCGCAGCCTTTGTGTCCCCGACTTCCCCGAGCCCTCTGACGTCTACTGGCAGTGCATCGACCTCCTCACCTTCATCCTCCTCTACGTCCTACCCCTCCTCATCATCACCGCTGCCTACTCAACCGTGGCACGCCGCCTGTGGCGACGTAACGCTATCGGGGACACCACCACTGCGCAGTTCGCGGTGCAACGGCGGCAGCGTCGGCGCACCCTGGCTATGTTGTTGGCGGTTGTTGGGGTGTTCGCGGTTTGCTGGTTCCCTCTGAACTGCTACGTGGTGCTTCTCTCCAGCCAGGCCATTCAGTCATCCAATGCCTTGTATTTCTGTTTTCATTGGCTGGCGATGAGCTCGACGTGTTACAATCCCTTCATCTACTGTTGTCTGAACCCTGCCTTCCGCCAGGAGCTAAAGCTGCTATTGGGCATGTGCTGGAGGAGGGGGCGTGGAGGGGTGGGGCCGGTGCTGGTGGCTCCGCCCTCCTGCGCACCCTGCCAGAGAGCCGCCTGGCCGGAGAGCCGCACCTGCTCTCGGCCGAGTCACGCCTCTTCACACCCGAGCCACGCCTCTTCTCGGCCAAGCCACTCCTCATCCTTTCACCAGCCTCCTAAAGACAGGCATGTCCTCTTCTCCGCTAGACATGCCCATAAAACAGACATTCTATCAGTGGAGCCCATAGTAGCTGTCAGTTAACTACAACTACCAGAATGCACTTGGGTTGGGATTGAGTGAATGATTGAGTTTATTTGACAATTAAAGACATGTAAAGTTGCTGCATTTGGAGGTGAGTCCTGTTGAAGGACTGCGTTATTAGCCAAATACAGTGGGGGCTCTTGAACAGGAAATGTGAGATCTTTAAACTTTCATGACAGCGCCACCTTCAGGAAGAAAGGTCTCACATGGATATGAGCAGGGGTTGGGGAGGTCTAGCAACAAATGCAACACCGAAACCAGCAATTGTTAGCACATACTGTATACACTGAGTGTACAAAACACTAAGGCACCTTCCTAATATTGAGTTGCACCCCCCCTTTTGCCCTCAGAACAGCCTCAATTCGTCGGGGCATGGACTCTACAAGGTGTCGAAAGCATTCCATAGGGATGCTGGCCCATGTTGACTCCAATGCTTCCCACAGTTGTGTCAAGTTGGCTGGATGTCCTTTGGGTGGTGGACAATTCTTGATACACACGGGAAACTGTTAAGCGGGAAAAACCCAGCATCATTGCAGTTCTTGACACAAACCGGTGCGCCCGTCATCTACTACCATACCCTGTTCAAAGGCACTTAAGTCTTTTGTCTTACCCATTCACCATCTGAATGGCACACATACACAATCCATGTCTCAATTGTCTCATGGCTTAAAAATCCTTCTTTAACCTGTCTCCTCCCCTTCATCTACACTGAATGAAGTGGATTTAACAAGTGACATCAATAAGGGATCATAGCTTTCACTTGGATTCACCTGGTCAGTCTATGCCATGGAAAGAGCAGGTGTCCTTAATGTTTTGCACACTCAGTGTATATTAGCAGAACAGCATTGTCGTGGCATAGACCGCGTTGCACTACATCTGTTGTAATTTATTTTTGTAAACCTGCAAAATGTCTCTGTCTAGTTCTGCTATCTCTTTTAGTTCTGGCTCTGTCTAGTTCTTCTATCTATTTAGTTCTGGCTCTGTCTAGTTCTTCTATCTCTTTAGTTCTGGCTCTGTCTAGTTCTTCTATCTCTTTTAGTTCTGACTCTGTCTAGTTCTTCTATCTCTTTAGTTCTGGCTCTGTCTAGTTCTTCTATCTCTTTTAGTTCTGGCTCTGTCTAGTTCTTCTATCTCTTTAGTTCTGGCTCTGTCTAGTTCTTCTATCTCTTTAGTTCTGGCTCTGTCTAGTTCTTCTATCTCTTTTAGTTCTGACCCTGTCTAGTTCTTCTATCTCTTTAGTTCTGACTCTGTCTAGTTCTTCTATCTCTTTTAGTTCTGGCTCTGTCTAGTTCTTCTGTCTCTTTAGTTCTGGCTCTGTCTAGTTCTTCTATCTCTTTAGTTCTGGCTCTGTCTAGTTCTTCTATCTCTTTTAGTTCTGACTCTGTCTAGTTCTTCTATCTCTTTTAGTTCTGGCTCTGTCTAGTTCTTCTGTCATTGGACTTCAAAAGGCAAAGACACCACCTTGGAGTTTTGTCGTTTCAACAGCAGCTGTTTATTCCATAATCTGTTCCTACAAAAATAATATTGTCTTAATTCTCGCTGATTGACATTGTCTCGCCCACTGCACACAAATTGTTATGTGTGGTGGATCCCTGCGAACTTTTTATTGAGTTTTTGTTGAAGACAGAACTTTCTAACCAGTGGGGATGATGACTGTGAGCGTGATATTCCGCTCCCTGAGTTTCACTGCTGCTGTCGGGGAGTTGCAGGAAGGCGAGGGGCTGATGGAGCTAGAGTTTGAAGGAACAATCTGTAACTTTCACTTCCAGTCGAAAGTGCTATCCCTGCACTTTTGTATACTGTGGCGGTGGGTCTCGCTTGGCAAATGTAACTGAAGGTTACCCACAGAATTTAAGTAAGGTTCTGTACATTTGCCAAGATCCACTCCTAAAGTTTACAAACAAGTGCAGGGGCAGCACTTTTAACCATTGACTGTAAACGAAAGTAACAGATCGAACCTTTCAAAATTGATTGAGTTCAGGACTGTGGGAAAGAAGAAAGTGGTAAACTATACTTGACAGAAGGTGTATACTCAACACATATGCTCATCAACAGGGATGAAGTAATGGAGGTGGGCTGAAGATTTTTTGCTCCAGACATTTCCTCCCTAAATCTGCTGGCAGTCCCTGCATAAGATACAGGTTGAAACATGTACAGCTGACTGCACATGTGGTGATAGCTATTAAAGATATTCTCTGGTACTTTTGTGGTCCCCGAAAATGTGCAGATATGTGACCACGTCATTGCTGTCTCTCGCTCTGCTGTGTGTGATTCTTGCTAGCTGTCACTCAAATGACGAGGGGCTGAAGCTCATTGGCCGAAACTCAAATTGCTAAGGGCTGGCCCACGTGGGGGTAAATGTAGGGAAAGTTCTGCCGCACAGCTCCCAAAAAACAGTCCGTTTCAAACTAGGGATTTCGTGGCTAATTGACATAAAATAGTAATTCTGCTCATATATTATTTATGTACTGTATGTATACATATTGACACATCCAGCCCAAAGCGGGAGGTAAAAAAAATACTTTAAAAAATACTAGTTGCCAAAGTACCAGAGCATAAATATGCTTTCAGTTGGATAAATAAGTGAAAGTAACAGACCAAACCTTTCAGAACTGATTGAGTTCAGGACTGTGAGAAAGAAGAAAGTGGTAAACTATACTTGACGGAAGGAACCCTTTTGGTCTGGTCAAAAATAGTGCACTAAAGAGGAATAGGGTGACATTTGGGACACTTTCTATAATGAGAAGGCTACTGGTTATATGCTACATTATGCATTAGCTTGTTGGAAATTAGGCACTCAGTAACCTCGTCCCCAGGCACAATTACAGAGAGAGCCGGCTGGTGGGCAAGATGAGGCACTCAGAGTCAAAGGGTTCAGTGATACTGTTGATGGTACTGGTAACCAGACCTGGATACAATTTTATTTGTTTTCTTTAAAATACTTTATATCCATTTTATTTAGCTGACCAAGAGCACCAGGTGGGTGGGATTTGCACTTTTGGGACTATTCTATTGTAGGGCAAGTGAAATCAAGCACACTTAAAGTATGTGAAAGAAAACCAGTACCGTTTTCACCCAGACCTGATGGTGATTTGAATGACAGATTGTACATGTCTGTGATAACGTTTAGTTCTTTATTCATTTGAATGTTGTGCGGACCGGGTGAAGAGTGTGAGCATCTGTGACATGATGTTCATGTGTACAGACGATAATGATGGTGGTTTAAACCTGACATTTGAACATGCTTGTGTTAATGTTTGGTTTCATGTTCTTGTTTTGAATGTTTTAAATGTTGATGCTACGGTATACTGTGAGTTGATGGTAACATCAGGCATGAGTATCTGTAATATTATGATTTTGTGATGTAAATGTGATATGGGATCTGAATTATTAATTCTCCCTCTATCTGTGCTTTCTGAGATCCATTGCCTTAACTCATAGTGCACATGTTTTTGTCGTGTACATGCCTTTCTCATAAAAGACTCCACGTTCCTTTTGAGATATTTATCAATTTGTTCATGAATTTTGATTCTCCACCAATTATTGTGTTTTAGATGTGTCTGTGTTTGTAGTATTAGATATAAGTGATTCAAAGTCCTGTCCTTCTTTAAAAAAGTGTAAAATGTATATTTTTACTTTACATGGTCAGCCCTGCACCAGCCAGATAGTGTGTGTGTGTGTGCATGTGTGTGCGTGCGTGAGTGTGTGCAGATGCTTGCATGTGTGGGTCGGTATTGCCAAAGGGTTTGAGTAAAGTTTCTGTTCTGGTTTAGCTCTTTAGTAGTGTATTATGACTGGCTGATTGTTAACAGAGCAATTGGTCAATATGTTCATTATCCAACCCCCTTGTTGGTTTGAACTTTTTCTCTTTTCAAAAGCCATTAAAGTATGCCATGTGACAACGATGGGTTGGTGTGATTCATAGATAATGGTATCGTTTTGTGCACTATTATTTCTGAACTCCCTTTCTTCTTCCATTAAGAGTCTGTGTGTGTAGCCAATTTTTCTGAACTCCCACTCTGCTACTATTCATGGGAGTGTGAGTCATTGTGTCGAGGGAACGTGAGGTCAGTCACATGAATGAGCGCAGGGTATTTCATGTACGGCACATGAACCACCTGAAAGATGGAAATGTGGCGTCAAAGAAGCACAAATAGGGTGACATCTGTCTGATGACCTCAAGCAAGATCCAAAGGAATGTTGATTAATCTTCTCTGCCCCTTCATAATCAAATTACACTTTCAGGAAACTGAGGTTTTAACAAAAATTCAATTTCAGTCCTGCCGTGGCGAACAAGTGTGCTGACATTTACAATGCCTTCTAGGCTGTTATACAGATGAGAGAGGCCTGTAATTTTCATCATAGGTACACGTCAACTATGACAGACAAAATGAGAAAAAAAAATCCAGAAAATCACATTGTAGGATTTTTTAATGAATTTATTTGCAAATTATGGTGGAAAATAAGTATTTGGTCAATAACAAAAGTTTCTCAATACTTTGTTATATACCCTTTGTTGGCAATGACACAGGTCAAACGTTTTGTGTAAGTCTTCACAAGGTTTTCATACACTGTTGCTGGTATTTTGGCCCATTCCTCCATGCAGATCTCCTCTAGAGCAGTGATGTTTTGGGGCTGTCGCTGGGCAACACGGACTTTCAACTCCCTCCGAAGACTGGCTAGGCCACTCCAGGACCATGAAATGCTTCTTACGAAGCCACTCCTTCGTTGCCCGGGTGGTGTGTTTGGGATCATTGTCATGCTGAAAGACCCAGCCACGTTTCATCTTCAATGCCCTTGCTGATGGAAGGAGGGTTTCACTCAAAATCTCACGATACATGGCCCCATTCATTCTTTCCTTTACACAGATCAGTCGTCCTGGTCCCTTTGCAGAAAAACAGCCCCAAAGCATGATGTTTCCACCCCCATGCTTCACAGTAGGTATGGTGTTCTTTGGATGCAACTCAGTATTCTTTGTCCTCCAAACACGACGAGTTGAG